CCTGCCCGGGCGGGGGGGCCTGCCGCTGACACGGCCTTTGTCCTGGCCTTTGTGGGACAAGACAGATGTCCCTCCCGCAGGGCTGATGCTATCTGCAGGCTGCCGGTCAGACGCGAGGCAGGGCCACCCCCTCCTTTGTGGGGCAGGTGCAGGGCATCCGGCCCATTGTGGCTGCAGCCGTCCGTCCCGCGGTCCATCCGGCCTTATCGCCACTTTGTACGAAAGCACTGCCCACCTCGCCCTCCCCAGGGGTGACCCAGCACCCCAGAACTCCCGTCGGAGGTCAGTGGTAATATCCCAATAAGAGGCATTGGCAACTTGGGGTCTTAGGTGACCCCAAGCCAAGAAAAGGTCACCATCCTGGGCTATGGGACAAGGCCCCGGCTGGAGACATGGGGGGTGATCAGAGTGGTCACTCAGTGCCCACAGCCTACACGGCGCCAGGGCTCAGGGGCCCGTGTCTCAATGAGGAGGATGAACATGGGGGCGGGGGGCTCCTCTGGAGGGGAAGGCGCTGGCAGCCCAGTGTGGTCAGGCGTTAAGAACTCCCTGCTCACTGGTGGAGGGGTGGCTGAACCCCATGGTTACTCCAGGACCCCCCGTCTTGCTGATCCTGTGCAGTTTAGACCAGCTCATGCCAAGGTACTACTGCAGGAGGCCCAGCCTGGCCTTGCCGACAGTCACCCTCCAGCCACCCCCAAGCCCAACTTCTGACCGTCCACACACTGACCCCAGCTCTGCAGGTCCCCAGGAGTGAGAGGAAATGGATGGTCCCAGCTTAGCACCCCCAAATGGCCCTGTGGGGAGAGGACTGCGCACGCCTCCTTGCAGACCACGGCCCCTCCCAGCATTTTCCTCTTCATGGAGGAGGACAGCACACTGGCTCTGACCAGCTGGGCCCCCTGCAGCCGGCAGGCCCTGCCCACGGCGTGGCCCAACCAGCGTCCCAGGCTCCCAGAACCTCCGCCTTGCTCAAGGCTCCAACTTGGGGGCACCCTCTCCCACCCTTGTCCACGCCAGCCCTCCCCATGGCATGCCCTTCCTTCTGGGGCTGTGTC